TGAGAGACATGCTGCTGCAGGCAGACATATGCTGTTAAATGTTAGTTTGCTGAAGGAAAGCTTTGTGGCTGGGATATCAGGGAGGGATCATTACTCTATACCCACCACCAACAGTAACCATGGTTTGTGTACCTTAATGAGATACATCCTTTTATAATAGTATAATGAATCATTTCACAGCAGAGGGGCCAAGCTACTGCAAGGCACATAGCCTTATTTCTCTTGACATCAGTCTCTCTACAGCCACTGCTTGACATACGCTTGTCACATTTGCGAGGCCGCCATTTTATCTCCTGCATATTAAACATTCAATTTACCTTTAACTTTTTTGTTTGGTTCAATTTTGCATCATTTGTAGTGCAGGCTGGGTAATTTGAGGAGATACAGTTTGTGCTCTCCATACCAAGCTGAACATGATGGATGATGCCATATAAGTATAAAATTGACAACATATGAGAACTAAGTGTGGAACTGCATGACAGGAATGCAATTTTAAAATCAGCTCGGGCATCACTGTGTATGTGAACAAAAGTACATATGACTGCATACATACAGAATGGTGACAAATTAAAGGTGCACGCAACATAAACTGTCTTAGTAAGGTGACAGGCCATGAGAAGCTTCAAGCATGCTTTGCAGAATCTTTACTAGAATCTGAAAGTCTATTTAAGTGATGAACACCCTTCTTATGAAAGATATTCCCTCCTTTGGTGTTTTGATGATGGTAAATATTAGAGAATGCTGTCTACACAGTGGTTCCATATGAACTGGAAGACACAGATGCTTACAGGTAAATGAAAATGTTAACACCAGCATGCTAACACACTAAAAAGGCTTAGAAAGGCGAGATTTAAAAAGATTTACCATGTTTACCATCTTTGGTTAGCGTGTTAGCATGTTAACACTTGCTTATAACCCTAATGCTAAATACTAATTAAATAACTTACTGACTTTTGGAACGGTAACATACCTGTAGTATGTAATTCACATAATTTTCATTCTCATCAAACAATTCAGTGACACCTTATGAAAACATCTGCTTTCACTGTGTTTTTCCTTTAATTTCTAACCTTTCTGGTGGTGTTTTTCACATATACATTTTCACATTGCCAAAGAAAAAGTGACTATAATAAATAATTATCATATATAAATATGATCAGTTAAGAATTAGCACTCATTCAACACTCGACTCTGATTATACCAGAAGTAAATACATGTTTCCTTGAACCATCAAAGGCTTTTCAAGAAAATAAAGAAATAGTACCAAGCATGCCACTGAACTGTCAAAACAGCAAAAAAGGCCTTCCATATTTCATAACAGATTTGTCTAAGAGTGATCTGTTATTTTGTCACATCAGTGAGTTTGAGCAGGAATGGTATAAGCAATTTTAGGTCTAGTTGACAAGACGTTACTTTGGGCTACCAAATCCTCCAAATCTCATTTAGTCCAACATCACCTGGCTTGTCTGAAGGGTCCTGTGATCCCCCACCTCCAGCCTTCACACTCCACTAGCAGCATCCAGGGTTTGAGTGACAGAAAAGTAGTGGCAACGAGAAAGGTTGAACAGTCCATGCCGTACACATCTTGAGTTGTAAAAAAAAATCCTATGTGTTGTGTCCAAACTTGGTGTTCAGTGATAATACAGCACAGCAGTAGACAGCAGTGGTTACCAGGGTCCTTTAGAGGAATGAAAATATTATTTTGACAGCCTCTTACAGACCAAAGTGGTTTCATATGTGGAGATTTATCTCTTGTGATGGCTTGTCTGAGGCAAGGAGGTGGTGATATAAGGAAGTAAGATTGGATGTGATCCTTGTGAAACTTCCATCAAAGCTGATGTCTACTGCTGGTCAAAAGAGGTGATTTATTTTTTATTTTCTTAACAAACCCTGTTGCTGTGGTGTAATTCACTGTTTTTGTTCAGTAATGCTTGCACATGAATGTTTTTGGAGCTTAAAAAATAATTTATCTTGTGAAATTTATATGTGGTATTTTTAAATGCTGGATTCTGCAGACTAAACAGTTTCAACACTTCCCTAATAATGTCTTAATTATAGTTGTGGCAGTCAGAGTAAGTCTTGATTGCATTTAGAGGATAATATCCTCCACTCTCACCTTTGTTGTCCTTTGCCATCCTCATTTGTAATCTAGTTGGCACAGCCACCACTATTGGTCACGGCAGTTTAATTGTGACATTAGGAGGCAACTTGGTTCTAGAGGGATCCACAAATGTCGTCCACAAATACAGCGTGAAAGTCACATAGCCTGGGCTGTGAGGAGATAAACACTCCAAATACACAGAGCTTGTTAGTCATGGTCCCTAATTACCAAACGGTTCATGTAGGAATGTCCCAATTGTCCAATCTAGTCTGCACAGAAGCAGTGCCAGGGAAGCTGTTGGCTTGCATAACTATTTGAATTTAAGATCTTTTCAAATTTTTTATTTTTTTCCCCTGTGACTGATCAAGATTTCCAGCCACAAACTGCTTTCTGTTTATCTGGATCCCTGTCAGTTCAAGGTAATTGCTTTTCTTGCCAGCATCCTGACAAAAAAAAAAAGTTGTCAGTATTTTAATATTTATCACTGCTTGGCTGTAATAGCTGTGTGATGCAGAAAGCCTATGAGAACTCATCGTTGCCAAGACCTACATGAGTCATAAAGTGAATCATAATTTATTACCAAAGTGACAGTGATCCTTTATAATACCCATCATGCGCATATCTCTCATAATGTAAGTGATCAAAGATGGCGGGCGTGTAATTGGATATGATTTCATTCATTATATGATGAGCAGCCGACAAATTGGGCCTTGTCCTCTGCCAGCAGTATGGGTCACAGCAATCAGTCAGTCAACTTGAAAGAGTTGTCCAGACACAATGTGGGATTACAACATCAGAAATAAAGGCAAATACTGTTCTGGAAGTCTCCGTAAAGTCAACAGTCATGTTAAGTGTTCTCTTGGTAAATTTAGCCTCGTACACTGGGGAAGAGCTTGTTGACTCTATGGTCATGAAGAACTTCTAGTGTTCATAAGCATCAATACAGAGCTTTCATTTTCTCCCACATATATCAGGTATTATGACTCAACTCTAGTACGTGTATGCTTGGGCTGTTTGAGTGTGTAAGTGAGTGCATACCTGTGTATTACTGCACATTTGTGTGCCAGTCCATAAAACCTTTAATGCAAGCTCCCCTAGAGGAGCTCTGCATTAATTATTGCCGAGCATTAAATATAATACACCACAAGGCAACATCTGCTGCCAGGTAAGGAAAATGGCAGGGGAGGTTTCCTGGGTCGAGTGCTCCCTTTAGAAAGGTTGAACCTCAGCTGGGCTGCAGTGTCAAGGCCTTCCTGCCCACAAGCTTAGTATGTGAATGTTATAATTTTGTCCCAGTGTAATATGAGATTTTGAACACAAATATTTCTTTTTGTACTATGCTAAAATGCTAAGACTCCCTTAAAGTTATAATCTTTACGATTTTCTTCTGGAAAAAGTGTGTGTGTGTGTGTGGGGGGCGTATGCTGGATTCAAATTGTATATGCTGGATTCAAATTGTCTACCTTCGTGCATTCATGTAATCCAGTGTTACCGTTTGTCATTTTATCTCATTGATATCAGCCTCATTGTATGCTGTACTGCCCAAGTGTAGAAGTCTGTAATGAAATTCTTTGATGTTAACAAGAAAGAAGAAATGAAACTGACTAAATTTCACTTTTCATCATTGCTCAGAAATTAGTTGTCATACTGGAAGTGGAAAAGTAAACTGATATCATTCAAATATAAATACTGAAGACTCTGCCTCATAAAGTTACAGTAGTAGGCAGCGACGGAAGGAGTACTCAGATATTTGACTTGAGTAAAAGTAGCTATACTACAGTATAGAAATACTCTGTTATATGTAGAATTCATGCTATACTTATATACTTAAGTAGCAAAAGTAAAAGTACTTATTATGCACTATATTGTATTTTATATTATTAGAATATAAATACTGATGCATCAAATGTGTAAAGGTGGAACCAATTTTGATTACTTTATATATTTCTGGGTAACTTGTGAAATGCCCCTGGGGTTCAAGAAGAAAGAAGAACAGATAAAAAGCTCTGTGATTCAGTACTTTCCTTAGAATCCATGAAGAATTTATATGTAAATGGAAAGTACCTGATACCACACACTCTCACAAGACCACGCCATCATGCAATGGTGCCACTGTGTGGAAGAAAGCTGCACACACAACCTGCAGTGACTACATAATGACAAATGGATTACATACAGTATAAATCAGCACAAAATCAACAAGGTTTCAGCCCTACAATTTCAGTTCTTCCCTATAGTACAAACATAGAAGGTAAACAATAGGCCAGATAAGAGCTTTACTATACTAAAATACTGGCAGCACTGTAGTAATATATCAACATTTTCTGAGAAAGAAAAACAAGAAATAAAATAAGAAAAAACACTTTTACTGGAAATGCAGATCAATTTAATTTTAAAAAAATCATACTGATGACAAATTGCATAACTTAATACTGATAATTTAAGTAATGACTTCCAGGTCAGCTAATACTGTAACCTCATTATTCTTGATTTAATTTGGTGCTACATTTATTAAACAATGATCGTATTAAATCATGTAAAATACATTTGTAGAGAGATGTGGCCTGGCTGATCTGAACTCTTGCCATCCTCAAATCCAATCCATTAGTTCAAAGTAAATTCCAGTAAGGAGGTTAAAGTTTTGGCTGCTGGTTCAGTATACTTTCTATTTCTGTTCTGTTCTAAAATCTCACACTTTGCCAATTATGTCCTGATTTTCTTTTCACACCCCACGGCCTTTACTCTTTACCCTGCATTTAACAACTAAACAGCAGATTGTTTATAACAGGGGAAGATAACAGATGCTCAGTGCAGGACTATAAAAACGGATGACACAATATATTGTATATCATGCCAGGTAATTGGTAGAGGTACTGTCATTCCCTACGAGACCTGCAAATGCTGGACTACATTTGTTGTGGAAGAACCAGAAAGACTGAGAATGTATTAGAGTGGATTTAACTATAAATTCAGACTTTTATAGTATCGATAAAATACGTAATGTGTTTTTGTTCTGGATGGTTTTTTGTCTAAAATGTGAGTTATTTCCTTTTGTGGACTTTAACTCCTCAGACCATCATCATGGCAACCAAGAGCCCAGCCCGCGTTGTGCTCATGTTTGTTGGATTGCTTACCTTTTTGGCTGCAATCACCTTCAACTCTCTATCAGGATTTGGTGTTAAATCAGGTGATTATTTGTCAGATTAATCAAATCAGTTAAATTTTGTAAAGTATGTTATGGAATGAATAACCAATTGTGTTTCTCTCAATACAGGTGTTTTCAAGCAGAGTACAGAGGATGTGACACTCAAGTATACAACACCCATAACTCCTGCTCAGTGGGCTCTGTTTGTCTGGGATTTCATATATATTTGGATTCTTTCTATGTTTATATACTTTTTAGTGGGACTCTGTAGACGGTAGGCTTCTGCACCATTTGTCATATTTTCATACATAATTTACAAAAAGGATAATGCTTAATAGCCGCATACCACTGCATAAATGTGTCTATTTCTTAATGCTCTTATTTCATCCTCTTGCATTATTGCACGCACCAAATCACTCCACCTAGTCCAGAGGCAATTTAGTCTTCCTCTGTGCAGTCATTTTCTCGTTACATATTGCAGATTGCTCTGACATAGTATGATTATTTCCCCACAGGCACTATTTGTTTGCTGTGGTGTATTTTCTCTCCCGAATCAAACAATATTATTCTTGCTCCCCGCAGGACTGCTTATGACTGGATGTACACCACGCCTGCAGTGTTACCCTACGGATTTCATGTCTCTATTATCATCAATGTTTGCTTGAATATTACATGGTTGTTTCTGTTTGACAGAGAGTGAGTGTGAATCCAGGTTGACCAAACAAACATGGTCGCCTATTTCTGAGAATATGATTACCAGCTGTATTTTTTGTTGCCACTCCTGACAGTTTAAATGTCTGCTTTTCTCTCTGTGTGTATAGGTTGTTGCTGCCAGGGCTGATAACCTCAGCACTTATGACAGTCACCGATTACATGATCCTATTCTTCTCCTGTCATGGACTGAAGATCTATGGAGCCTGGTTGAACAAATATCGAAACGCAGACCTCTGGCTCATCAGAATATTGGTAAAATAGGCATTTTTTCCTCTTCTTGGACTTTGAAAGAGGTGATTTTTTTAGATCCCCACTTGGCTTCAAAGGGAATTATGAGTAAAAAGTGAAGGAAGTAGAGTGTGTTTGGTTTACAGACAGTGTAAAGTCTCAGGAAAAAGCTTGTAAAAAACAGTAATAAATTTGCAATTTGCATTCACCAAACAAAGGTGTTCTTTGGAGCGAAGCATTAAACATGCATAGTATAGTAAAGATAAAAAGCAATTTTGTATGGGACTGTTATACTTACACGTTAGTTAGTTAGTTAGTGAGTTAGTTAGTAATAGCCTTCATCAAGACACATTTTAACCTTTACTGCCTTTCATTTCCCTCTTACAGGAACAACATTCTAATCTCATCATTGCCTTGGAAAACATAACTTATATTTGCATAAACAACTTAAAATTAAAAACAAAAACAAAAAAATAGTGTGCTGTATACTTATAAGCAACTTTCTTATAAAGTTGTAACTGTGAACTTTAACAGCCAAATGCTGTCACCGTCCAGTGAAAACCATGTATCCCCAAATTTGGTGATACTGAATTTTGTTATGTATTATATATTTATGGGTGGAGAAAAGGCACCTATTTCTTAAGCTAAATAAGTATCTAAAAACCCATGGAATTGTCTGAAAAATGCAAATTAAAAGATAATTTCACACATTAAAGTCTGTTTACAGGTCTTCGGAAGTAATATTGCACATGTGAAAAAAGTTGTATAAAGCTTTTTCTTGTAGAGAGCTGCGTGAAATCTAATACATTTCCTCAAGTGATGTCCTTTAGGCAACATTGGTTGGGGCTGAAGACTACAAGTTTGAAAATGAAAAAATCTGGGGGTGTGGAGTTAGAAAGGAATGAGGTTACCAGACCTCTGTAGCCTGCTTCTCATCTCTGCTTGATGCTAGTGGCACGAGGCTATATTAGCTGCTACTAGTGTAACACACCCAAATCTTACCAAACAGTCGGTGGGCCAGTTGTATTGTGGGTTATATAAGCACTAGGATTTGACAAGGAAGAAGAATACATGAAAAAACAGATACAGTGTTCTCACAGGACAGTGAAGATTTATTATTGAAAAGCTTCTTCAAAATATTTCCTTATTCCATTCTGACTAAGGTGGTGTCACAGTCTACGTTTCTTCTATTCCTGCCCTATAGAGCTGTTCATCTACAGTAGACTTAAAGGTCCAGTGTGTAAGTTGGAGGATCTATTGGCAGAAATGGAATATAATATTTATATGTATGTTTTCATTAGGTGCAATCTGCAACTTCATTGCTAGATGCCACTAAATCCTACACACTGGTCCTTTAATGGAATTGTTTGTACATTTGCTAGAGTTAGATGAGAAAATCAATACCATTTTAATACCTGTATGGCAAAAAATACCTGTGTGGCCTGCTTGTAGTGCTAAAACTGGTATCAATGGAAAAATAACAATAACTGGTCATTTCAGGCCTAGCTGCCTAGCTAAAAAATTTATTGTTTGTACTGTATGGACTCCATCCTTAAATTAAGGATGCTTATATGTTGCCTAAATAGACACCTGCATTACTAATCATTCAAGCTTGTTTCATTGTGTTGAATCAGGTGCAAAATGGAGTAGCAGTATATGCAACCTGGGGGACTCTCTACACTCTACTGAACCTGACGATATACTTACAATATCAGACAGATAAATCGAGATGTGACTGTGCACAATTGTCACTGCTGCTGCTTCTGATGAAGCTGTTAGCCTGGTGAGTCTGACTCCCTGCTGTGTTCTGTCATTTAGCTGTGGGTGTTTTTTCTTCCCCTGAGAGATGATATAACTCAGATCTTCTGTCTTTGTCTCCCTTTGCTCCAAGGTTTCTGTTAGAGAACTTCTACCTTGACAAGCATGTGCGTTATATTGTGACCATTTACCCTGTGGTAATCCTGTGGTTGACAGGCACCCTGAGCAATTCTAGCTCTCCTGATAGTCCCATTTACATCTTTGCAGGTACTGTTTGATACCACACACCTTTCCCAATGTACCTTTCTCATTTCTCTGTACACTGATCATTGATTCATATAGATATTTATTCTATATTCTCTTATCCTTTTCCCAGCTTGGATCCTAGCTATTTCCTGCGCCATGTTTGTGGCACGCATTTCCCTGGTCACATGGAGGCATCACAAACGACCACTTTACAACACCAGTGCACCCACTATGTCACCAGTAGAAATATCCTTGACACAAAGAAAACTCTTTCTATAATTATTAGTTTTATTCATCAGAGGGGTTTTTTTTTCTGTGTAAATAATGTTAAAATGTGAAAACTAAAACACTTGTGCATTACTCAGCTCACATAAAAATTAATCTACAGTTTTATTAAACAAATAAAAGAAAAAATGGAAGTAAAAAGGAAGTCATGAATATTTTTTGAATTCAGTTTTTTTAATCGTAGAACTAATTATGGGCTAATAAAATAAGAATACTAAGAAAAGATGAAAAACAAGGAAAGACAACAAAGATTACAGAACAATAATAAAAAAATTAAATTAACCTTCGGGCATTTCCCAGCACAAAAATATTTCCCCTTGTGTGATTTACCTAAACATTTGTAAATCTACATGATAAACATTTTATTAAGAAAGTACACGTTAAGACAATTGAACCTTTAATAAGTCTTATTCAAGGCTGAAACTAACAGTATCTTTTTAATATAATCAATTCATCTGTTAGTCCATACAGTGAATGTCAAAAAATAGTGAAAAATGGCCATCA